GTTATAAAAACAATGACATGCAATCTATGAAAAGATCATGACATAGAGTACAGAATAAATGGCAGCTAAAATGCATGCAGGATTTAAAATCCTCTATTATGTTGGCTGTTCTCATCTTTCAGTGTCATCCTTGCTACCCTTTTTAATTTGCATTTCTTTAATTATGAATATCCTAGAAGACCTGTAATCTAATAAAGTAAAACCCATCTATTACTCAGTCATTATAAAGATTCAGTAAGTATAGAATCATTGAAAGAACGTATATATATTCCTCATAGAATGTATTTTGTCTTGAAACATAAATGTATATTCATTTGCCAATATGTTCATATAAAGGCAGCCAAAATTTGGTCTTAGAATATTTTCAGGTGTTACACATGTACTCTCATGCATAAATTGCATGGAAAATGAAGTCCTCAAAATTATTTTTCTCATTTTAAGTGGAATACAAATTACTGACATTCTGAATCAAGGTATAGAATCCTTCCAGAGTTTATTATCTCTTTTCTCAATCATTTGAAATAATGTCTCTCAGGAAAATTCAACACCAAAGACAAAAATATATCAGGATGTATTTGCACATCTCTAAAATATTCAGCTTAGTGGGTTTTTTTCTCTTTCAAAATGCACTACTTTATTTTCTACTTAAAGTAGCCACACATTGTAAACTTTAGAATGTGACAGTCACACGATTTCTTTAGTAAGCCCCAAGATTTCCATGATCATTCCCGGAGCTTACAGCCTGAGGAGTGGTCCTGAGGTCTCAAACATTAAATCTTTTTCTACAACCACAAATTCCTTTCAGGTTTGGGTTATTTAATCACCAGATAATTTGCCTTGAACATAGTCTACTTTCTATTTCTGAAAGTATCAGCTATGCTTCCTTTTTATGAACACTCTGATTTCATCTTGCACAACTTCATCAGGATCTTCTCTGGTCTTCATAGATTCTAAAGCATAAGAGAGGCCATTACGATCCTCAGTGTAGACACCAAATTTCACACCCACGTGTTCAAGTTCATCTCTAAGTAGCTATTTCATCTTGTTTGCCGCCAGAGATGTCAGGCCGAGGGTGGTCCAAATGGGCCGCAGCTTGCTCTCGCTCACATCCTGGACAGTGGCCCTGAATAACGCTGACTCTTGTGCCATGCAGGTGCCCCGGTGCCTCAGGCCAGAGTTCAGACACTGCAGCCTCTCTTCCTGGACACAGTGGGTGCATTGAGCCAACTTAATTTTTATAAAGCAATTCCTTTTATTTTCACACTTATCAGTTTATAAGATATTTTGTTAAATGACTCATTACAAAAAATAAGCAACAGATATAACCAAGAACATATATGATTCTTGATGAGCATTACTTCAACTTCAAAGTAACAAAATCATTATTTGTACTAGTTTTTTTCCAAAGTGAATATGTATTTTCATGCTGCTATGTCTTTGGACAGGACATTTTTGAACTGAACTGATATTCCTTTTCTTCAATGGGTAAAGTCTTTATTCTCCTTAGGCTGTACATTATACCATATTTCCCCAAAGTTTGCTTACTTACCCATTGCCACACAGCAAACCACTTTAGGTTAGCATGTTGAATAATTTGTTAAACATTTTCCAAACATCATCCAAGTTATAGTTAATCAATGTGGTCACAGATACTCCAAGCTACTACCTGATAAAGAACAACTTATCTTATATCTTGTACTTCTCTCAAAGAGAACCACAAATGTACCAGACTGGACACAGGAGAAAATAGAACCTTGCTCCATCTTTGGAATTTATCATCATACTGGGGCAGAATTTCACATAAGTGGAAAATAAAATAACATAAAGGAAACTTTTTGACATCAGATTTAGACGAGAGAGAATTTAAGGATGAATGAAGAAAACTAGGCATTCTATCCTACAACTCAGCAACAAAAAAAGAAGCAAATCAAAAAATCGACAGAGGACTTGAATAGGCTTCTCCAAAGAAGATAGATAATGAAAAGATATTCAATTATCACATGAAAAGATTCTCGATATACTAACCATTAGTGAAGTGAAAATCAAAACCACAATGAGATACTACTTTACACCATTAGGATGGCTAGTGCCAAAAAACCAGAAAATAACAGGTGATGGCAAAGATGTTGAAAAATCCGAACCCCTGCACACTGCTAACGGGAATGTAAAATGCTGTGGAAAACAGTATGCAATTCTGGAAAAAATCAAAGTAGAATTGCTATGTGATCTAGCAATTCCACTTCTAGATATATACACAAAAGAGTGGAAAGTAGGGACTTGAAAAATATTTGTGCTCTAATGTTCACTGCAGTGTTATTCACAATAACTAAGAGATGAAAACAATCCAAAAGTGCATTAGAGGATGACTGAATAAACAAAAAGTAATCTATACATACAAAAGAATATTATTTAATCTGAAAAAGGAATGAAATTCTGACACATGCTACAGAATGAATGAACTTCAAAGACATATATTAAGTGAAATAAACCAGACAAAAAGGGGAAATTACTGTATGATTCCACTTAAATGAGGTGTCTAGAACAGTCAGGATCATAGAGATGAAAAGTAGAATGGTGGTTGCCAGGGGCTGGCAGTAGGGAAAAATTGAGCAGGTAGAGAGTAATTGTTTAATTGGTGCAGAGTTTCAGTTTAGGATGGTGAAAAAGTTCTGGAGAGATATGATGGTGATGGTTGCACAACAATGTGAACATAGTAATGCCACTGAACTGTGCATGTAAAATGGTTAAAATTATAAATTTCATGTCATGTATATTTTACCACAAGAAAAATAAAGTCCTTATCACATCATACTCCTTAAACTAAAAACAAACAAACAAACCAAAAACCCTACGGATTCCAAAGCAAAAGGAGTTCAATACAGAGATTTCAAAATAGAGATAGTAGATGACTGAATAATTACCCCCCAAAGGTGTTTATGTCTGTTCCGCCACAGGACCAGCTGGGCCAGGGCTGCAGGATATTGTGCCAAGAGACCGAAGAAACGAGCCAGAGACTGCAAATGAGGCATATAGGTTTATTGAGTCCTACTTATGGGAGAGTGTCCAGTGGAGGCTGGCTGGACAGAAGCATGCATAAGCCCACAACCCCCTCAAGACAAGCTTGCTTAAGTGGGCAGAAGAATAAAGGCTGCATGCTTGCCAGAGGCCTACCCTTGGTACAACCAGCGTTCCCAGGAAGACATGGAGGGGCTCTGTGTCCCCGTAAGATGGGCTGTTCTTCTTGTGGGATAAGGGAGGATCCGGGTTGCCCAGGCCCAAATCATCACAAATTCCAGTAGCTGAGCTGCCTGCCCAGGAGGGAGCCGGAAGGACACATGGTTGCAATGGGCCTGGGGGTTTCTGCTGAGCAAACAAGGCCCAGGCCCTACAATGTCCTAATCTTCAGGACCTGTGTATGTGTTAGCTTGCCTGATATAAGGGACTTTACACATGTGATTAAGTTAAGCATCTTGAGATTAGGAGAATCTTCTGCACTATCCAGGTGGAACTAATGTAATCACAGGGTCCTTATAAGAGGGAGGTCTGAGGGTCAGATCACAGAAGATAATGGGACAACAGAAGTAGAGGTCATATTGAGGCCACAACCAAGGAATGAAGACAGCCTCTAGAAGCTTAAAAAGCCAGGGAAACAGATGCACCCTTAGATCCTCTAGAAGAACAGAACCCTGATGATTTATTTTGACTTCTAACCCTCAGAATTGTAAGATAATGAATTTGTATTAAGCTGCTAGACTTGCAGTTATTTTTTATAGCAGCTGTAGAAAACTAATACAGAGATATCTTCTCATCAGCTGAGGAAGCAGGTGTGGCTTTCAGGACACGGCAAGATTAATCCTGTAGAGATTGCTATCTTGATAAAAGATATTTTAAAACTTGGAGATTTAAGTCTTTGCAGCAATTCCAGAATGGGTGCAATGTCAACTGAGCCCTATCCCCGAAGATATTTTCAAGGAGAACTTGGTAATTGGATTCTAAAGCACTGGAAGCAGAGAGATGAATCAGAAATTATATTTTTCCTTGAGATGGTTCCCATCTATTTGGAAAAGGATGAAACAGACACACAGCACATTTCTGCATAATATTAAAGATTCAAGGTGAACAAAGTTCACCAACCCAAAATGCTATTAAAGTTTGTTTATATATCCTAAATATCATTCATATCTCTTATCATATTTCCATTTTCAAAACCATTACTCTAAGAGAGGCCACGATCAGTTCTCAATTGAGCCTTTGCAATAGTTTCTAAACTAAACTCTTCTCTGCAGACTTTATGGATAATTTAAAATGCCGCAAAGAAGTCCTAATGATACAATATTTAGTGAAAAATTGTAGAGTGAAAAATTGAACGCAATAAGGTCTCAGCTTCATAACCTTGAAAAAAATTAGGAGAAAGTCTTTGGACTAGAGGGGTTATACATCTTTTTATTCCAAAACATCTTTAATGGACTTGCATTAAGTCAGTAATAGAGGAAAGAGAATAGAGCAGAGGGAAGCCTCAACATCATAGTAACTCAACTCACCTGTAGGAATGAGGAAAGTCCAATTTCACTGTATAATATATTTTGATATAAGGTCCATTACTTGAATAACCTAAAAAATAGGCATGTCTCTGAAATTTTAGGTAGAGGTGTGACTAAATGGAATGAAAATATTGATTAACTCAGGATAACACAATTTTCATATGGCAATCATGCTGCAAGGATATACAATACAATACAAAGCCCCTTATTGTTTCATCCATAATGGTTTGAGTATCCTACAGTAAACTTTCAGAAACCTGCTCTGGATTGTGTATCAGCAAAACTTAGTTCATTACCTCTCTTGCATTAGCAAGTCACTTAAGTTCTTTAATGCTCAAGTTCTTAGAAAAGAATAAAACATTATAGAAAATAGTATTCAAATTGTATCTTGTTGCACACATGGGGACTAGCATTATTATTTTGACCTTAAAACATTCTTACTGATAAAACCCAAGGGTTTCACCCCATTTTCAGGGAAAACCACTTCTTCATCCTGCTTCGGATCTGCTGGGTCTTTACACTGTAGATGATTGGATTCATCAGGGGTGGAAAGAGAATATAGATATTGCCCATAAGGACATGAACCAAAGGTGAGAGATGCTTTCCAAAGCGGTGCACCATGGTGAGACCAATGATGGGAATATAAAAAACCAGGACAGCACAGATGTGGGAAACACAGGTCTGCAAGGACTTGAGCCTCTCCTCCCGGGATGCAATTGCCAGCACCGTATGCAAGATGAAAATATAGGAGATAAGAATGAGGACGGCATCCAACAACAAAGTACAAATCACTAGAGCCAGGGCATAGAGGCTGTTGAAGCGGATGTCAGAGCAGGCCAGCCGGAGTAGGTCCTGGTGAAGGCAGAAAGAGTGAGAGAGGATGTGGGGACGGCAGTAAGGGAAGAACTTCAAACGAATGATGACGGGAAGAATAGACAAAGCACTTCTCATCAAAATGGTCACCATAAAATGAATGACTCTATTATTAGTCAGGATGGACGTATACCTCAGAGGATTGCAAATTGCTATAAAGCGATCAAAGGCCATGGCGAGAAGGACTCCAGACTCTGTGCACGAGAGTCCATGAATAAAGTAACTTTGGGCAATGCAGGCATCCAGATTGACTTCTTGGTTGAGCCCCCAGAGGATCCCCAGGACCGTGTGCACTGTGGACAGCCCCATGCACAGGTCAGTGAGGGCCAGCAAGGCCAGAAAATAGAACATGGGCTGGTGCAGGCTCGACTCAGTCCGGATCACATGGAGCACCATGCAGTTTCCCAGGAAAACCATAGCATAGATGGAGGAGAAGGGAATTGAAAACCAGGGATGGTACTGGTCTAGACCAGGGAACCCTGTGAGAATAAATATCGAGGAATTAATAATGGAAGCAGAAGAAGCAGACATGAGCATTTGGAGCTAATTCCCAAGGAAAGGTAAAGATTCACAGTTTTGTGTATATTATCTGGCTTTGAGAACAGTTTAACATAACACAGTGCTCAGAGCATATATAGCACAAGTTAAGTTAATTGTAGAACCCCAGGGAAGTCAACTGTAGGAGAAGCTACTGTACAAGATGGTTTCACAGAGAACGTCCTTGATGTCAGGTCTCAGAGGTTATAGAAGCAAATCAACGTCTGACCACTATAGGCAATTGATCTCTAACTTCCTTCTCTTGTAGTCTCTCTGAGCCCTTTGCACCACACACACCAGGTGACAGTGACTCAAGTTATTGAGAGCGTAAGTCTGCTCCTGCTCTGCTGCTCCTGGGTAACCTCTGAACGCTCTCTCCTTCCCCCAGTCCTTGTGTACAGGGAGTCAGAAGGCTCAGAGTTAGGAGGAAGGAATGAAGAGGATTGTGGGAGCTGGTGAACCCGGGCTCCAGGGAGAGCACTATTCTCTCGTGAAGGATGATGCAAGTGAAAGATGCTTCCTGGTTCTTCCAGGCTAGCAGTTTCCTGGGATTCTGAGGAAAGGATAAATAGCAGCCTTTTCCCCAGAGTCCACAACTTTTCTAATCTTAGAGGGAGGGTGACTCATGGCATTGACTGAAAATGGACTGGATTGACTGACTGTGCTCAGAAGAAGCTAAGAAGCAAACATCCAATGGGAAAGATAGTATCAGAAATCTGAGGAATTTTTGTGTCCATTTCAGTCTGAAATAAACTATAATGTTTACATAAGATTTATTTATTGTTTTCCGCTTAAGGAAATTTTTATTTTTCACTGAATTCCTCAGTCAAACTCTTTCCCTTTTTTGAACTCCAGAGAAATGTGTCTCCTTTCTGACAGGTGTAGTATAAGAGCTGTATATAAAAAGGTTTCATAAAAATACTATAAAATGACACACACCATATTGCTAAAACATTCACTTATGTGTTAGTTGTACATAGTTAATTATGTACTTATGGTGGGCAGCATGGAGGCACACAGGTGCAGGGCGGTCACTGCCAACATGGACAGAAAGTAGTACGTGGGCTGGTGCAGGGAGATCTAAGAGCATGAGTGTAAACTCAAACTCAAGTACATTAGAATTAGAATGAAGCTTATAGACCCTGCAGCATCCCCAGGATTGTATTGATGAGGTTCCAGTGACTCCAAAAAGGCAAGAACTTGTCAAGAATCAGATCTCCTGTAAACCTCAGGATACTCCACATTTGCGAATGCAACCACTGTCCTCCATTCCTCCACGTTTTCTGTCCCCTGAACCTTGTGGGTCTCTCAGCTGCCAATCCATGTATTTTCTACTGTGGGCTATTTTGTCCCAGACCCTAGTAGAAGATGACTCTATTTTAAAGTATTTCTCAATCCCTCTTCAACAAAACCCAGCCAGGAGCTTTCTGCAAATCCACAATGATCCAACATAAGAATAACAATAGCCGGTAAGAGCAACTGAATTTTGAGGAGTCATGGGTTTGTTTGTTTTTCACAGACATTGTCTTGAGTTGAAAACTGTTGTGATGATAACTAATTTGTCTGGAGATATGTACACTAGTATTCAACTCCTTTCCAAAAGAGATCCCCCTTATGGATCCTGCCCTCCTCTGAAAGTAGCAACGTGCAGGTGTAATCCTTCATATTTGCATTTTCACTTTAGATACTTTAAAATCACTTTTTCGTCTATAATCTCAGATAATCACCTCAATTCTCTAAGACTGAGAAATCAGATTGTATTACGCCTGGTTTCTAAATTAAGAAATAGACTCTGCAGCAAATGAAGAAAATAATTTGGCCAAAGCCTCCTATTTAATAAAGAGTGGATACACGAGGAGAACACAGTGCTTCGTGTTTGTTATTTAGCTTCTGAGCATTTTAGCTTATGGTAAAAAAAAAAAAAAAAGGAAAAGAAAATCAGAGGAAGATCTCTGCTGTGATAAGGAAAGCCTTTGGAGAGTTGGAAGCATGGTGTGCCTTCTATCTGCATATCTGCATAAGCTAAAGGCTCCCTTAAAATTCTGATTTTTAAAAAGTTTCAAATATGATGTCAGCTTATATACAGTCAGAGAGTCAGTTTTAAAATCCTAGTATTTGCTTAAATATTTTTTTTAAGTAAATGAATAGTGTTAAGGACCCTTATTTGTACGTGCTAGCATTATAGCTATCTGCAGGATAGACAAAAGTACAGCTACAATGAAGCATCATGAACACAATGGATGCAAATAGAGATAAATATTGTGAAGTAAATAATGCTGATAGAAGGGGTGCATGTGATAGTGTTTTATATAAAGTGTTCTGGGAATAACTCTCAAGGAGGAAACAGTTGGAGTAAGATCAGAATTGAAAAAAAGCAGCCATTTGAAGATGTGCGTATGTATGTGTGTGACTGTGAGGGAGTGCATTGCCTGGGCCTGTGTGTGTGTGTACGTGTGTGTGTGTGTGAGTGTTTAATGGGGTAGGTGCAAAGAGAAGCATCAGGCAGGAAAAGAAAGGAAAGAATCTTGTTAATGCCCGGGGCAGCTGGCAGACATAAACCAGCTGTAGCTCACGTGAGGATGTCAACAAGAAAAGTAGTAGACACAGAGAATCCAAAACCCAAGCAATCACTACGAAAAGTTCACTTATCTATCTTAAAATTTGAATTCTACATCTGTGCTTACTACCTACACAATTCTGATCTTCAAAGGGAAAACTGTTTATGCAGCGAAATATGTTAGTGCTCTCTAAATGGCAATTAAAGTGGGCAAGGGAGGAGAGGAAAGGGTTAAGAATTAAGAGACAAGGTTTGTAATCCTGAGTCCTTAGGTGAAGTAGGAAAAGTTCTTTTCAAAAGTGAAATTTTGAGACAAATGATGGTGGCAATGATTACCAGGAATGCACACATACTGAGATGATCCAACATGTTTATAAAGAGAATCATTAAATACAAAAAAAGAGGGGGATGTCATAATAACCCAAGGCCGTCATTTTATCAGTGGTGATACAATGCAAAGAAGACCAACTGATCAGAGACTCTCTATTTTAAGCTTGGCTCTGCTGTGGTGAGAAGCTGGACAACTGTTTTTACTCCTTCTATAAATGGTTTTATGAATTTCTAATAATGTGCTAAAAATGGAGGGAGTTTAAGAAATAATATGAATAAGATAAGAGAAATGTTGGAGACTCCCATTGAGGAGAAGGCTGCTTTCAGAATAACAGTATGCAAGCAATGTACGGTACCTGTGCACTTTCGCTACCACATCTTTCAACCCTGCACATATCTTACACTAATAAGAGCTACTTCAAGACTTTTATAACTAATTAAATAGTCCACTCAAAGACTTCTGACATGAAGATACAAGCACAAGGGATGCTCTTGGGGTAGACTGAATCAGTAATACAACTTTTATTTTCCTAACCAGGGCAATAAAATGAGTATTATGTGACAAGGATTTGAGATTCGTCAATACATGGAACATGTCCTATTTACTTTTCATTTCTCACATTTATCCAAGTACCTGGAAGAGGATTTTTTTATTGTTATAAATGACTATTTGTTGTGAAAACAAATTTAGTGATAGAAAGTGATAAAAATTGTTGCAGGGCAAAAAGCAAAGGGTATGGCTTTTAATCCTAACTTTATCACAAACTCATTGAATAAACTTGGTCAAACCTCTTATTCATTCTGACGTTCTGTACATTGTAAATATAGCAATTCCATGCCTCTTTACCTGATTTTTTAACTTGAAGATTCCTAGAAATTATTCAGTGCAAATATTTTGTGAAATATATAATCCATACCTAGAGATTGTCAACATTATTTTGTCTGCTTCAGACAATAAATCATTTCTTATTTTTGGACAACGAGAGAAGTGAGCAGAAGTTCATTTGGACAATTTTAAGCATAGACTATAAGCTAATTGCTTAGAGGGGCTCTTAGTGTTCACTAGTAGGTAGACAGTAAAACAGCTATTCAAAAGTGTTATCAAAGGGAGAGCAACATTGCAACAGCACTGTACCTTAGATCAAATCAGTATGCATTCTTTCTGAAACCACATTAGTATTAACAGCAAAGGCTTAATGAAACTCATACTACCTGATAGTCAAAAGATGATGGTTTTCATCCTCCAAATAAATTTCACACCACCATATATACGCATACCATATCAAACTGGCATGCACCAAAAAGACGTAATATTTAATAACAAAGTTAAGTCAAGAGGCTGGCTGGTGGTGCAGTGGTTAAGTTTGCATGGTCCGCTTTGGTGGCCCGGGGTTGGCCTGTTCAGCTCCGGAGCGTGAACCCATGCACCGCTTGTTAGAGGAGGATTGATGGCAGATGTTGGCTCAGGACTAATTCTTCCTCAAAAAATAAATAAATAATAATAAAAAATAAAGTCAAGCAATTTTGTCAATTTAGTCTCATTTATTTATTCCTCAAATTCTTACAGTTTTTGTTTTTTTCCCGAGGAACATTAGCCTTGAGATAACATCTGCCAATCCTTCTGTTTTTGCTGAGGAAGACTGGCCCTGAACTAACATCCATGTCCATCTTCCTCTACTTTATATGTGGGAAGCCTACCACAGCATGGCTCGCCACGTGGGTGCCATGTCTGCAACCGGGATCCGAACTGGCGAAGCCCAGGCTTCCGAGACACGGAACATGTGGACTTAACCACTGTGCCACTTGGCAGGCCCCAAATTCCTACAATTTTAAGCTTCAAGCATGTTTTCAAGGTTGATAAGTCAATGATTTATAAATAATTCACTTTAATCTCAAGAAACCTGACTCTATTGACTTAGATTATCACTTTTTTTTTTTTTGCAAGAGGAAACAGTCTCTATCTTTTTTTTTCCCAAAGATTGGCACCTGAGCAACAACTGTTGCCAATCTTCTTCTTTTTTTTTTTTTCTGCTTTATCTCCCCAAACACCCGGATGTAGTTGTATATCTTAGTTGCAGGTCCTTCTAGTTGTGGGATGTGGGATGCCGCC